TGGCTGACAAAGAAGTGATGTTGCAAGCATTTCCAGTAACAGTTGTCATATTATAAGGATTATGTATAGGCCATATATGCCAACAAACATGCCTGAATCTAACCACTTCCAGTATTTTAAAAAAAAAAAAAAGGTATAAATCTAAGGAAAACTGTAGCTAAATTGCAAAATATCTAAAAGGTGCTCTCAATGTATCTTTAGTAACAAGCAGGTGTTCACACAGGATCACACAGAATCGCTTGGTTGGAAAAGACCTCCAAGATCATCACGTCCAACTGTTCCTGTCTACCCCCTAAACCATATCCCTAAGTACCTCGTCTACCTGCTCCTTAAACACATCCAGGGATGGTGACTCCACCACCTCCCTGGGCAGCCTGTGCCAGCTTCTGACGACCCTCTCAGTAAAGAACTTCCTCCTTATCTCTGACCTGAACCTCCCTTGGCACAGCTTGGTGCCATTTCCCCTTGTTCTATCCCCCATCACCTGGGAGAAGAGACCAGCACCCACCTCTCTACAACCTCCCTTGAGGCAGTTGTAGGTGGTGATGAGGTCTCCCCTCAGCCTTCTCTTCTCCAGGCTAAACAAGCCCAGTTCCCTCAGCCGCTCCTCATCAGGCTTGTTCTCCAGAGCCCTCCCCATCCTTGTGGCTCTTCTCTGAACACGCTCCAGAATCTCAACATCCTTCTGATAGTGAGGGGCCCAGAAGCGAACACAACACTCGAGGTGCAGCCTCACCATGTGTTATAACATGTGTTATCACATGTTCAAGTACCACTTGAAAATTCAAGTGTTTGCTCAAGTTGCATAGGCAACTTTCCCAAGCAAGAGTCACCAACTAATCCAGGAGAAAGAGTGGAAACGGGTGTGGATGGGTGATTAACAGGGCAAATTAAGAAAAAATTAGAAAGCATAAGTTACTAGTAACACACTAAATAAAAAGTTGACTGACATTACACGTACGCACTACATAGATATTTAGTTCCTTTAATCCTTTCCTGGACTCAAAACACACCTTAAGTTAACCCACAGTAAAACACTCACTATAAACTGGCAGATGGAGGAGCTATGATACATGACCAGGACTGTTTTAAAACTTCATATTCCTATGAAGCATTTTAGAAATGAGCACAGTTTGCACCTACGGCAAAGCAATGTTAACTCATCTAAACTGCACAAGTTATGATTCAAAAGCACTGGTAGGTATCCATAGCTTACTTTCAGCAATTTTAACTGCCCTGTTAAGTTAGTGGTGCAGCACTAGCTTAGTAGCGGCTGGTTTGGTTTAATTCATTACATCTGCCATAACAAGTTGTATGTTAACTACCCAACAACAAAAGTTTTGAAAAATTTCTATCCTTAACAGTATACTGTGTAGCACTTAACTTTCAGATGAAGGTTAATAAGACAGGGTTTCTCAATGATGGCATGTTATACACCCATTTTATGACTACCGAGTCTGGTGTGGAAAAAGGGAGCTTTGGGTTTAATTCCACCATTACAGTATCTATTTCCTTATTAAACTGTTATTAGTCCATGGTTAAACAGTCACTTTAACTTGGTATAAATATCTAATACTTAATACTTAAATGTAGTTTGGGTTTGTTGGGTGTTTTTCCATTTTCAACAAAAGGCTACTCTGAAACACAGCTCTTGAATCCAAACAGCCTACTGAAAAGACCAGATGCTACTTACACAATCACAAAATACTCGTAGCTGCCAGCCGTCTTCTGGACAATGAAGCTGTAAGTTTGACGAATGCTAATCTGGCATATGTCAGCACTGCCACTGAAAGGGGTAGTACCGCATCTTCCCTCTCACCACTTCTGCTGATTTCTACACCCTTTCTTCTTACAAGTTTGCTTATATACTGAAACGAATGACTAATTAATCTGGCTGAAAAATAACCAGCCAAATCACTTTCCCATCTTGACTGGCCACGAGACCAGCAGGTGCTTCCTCTGGCACAAATGGAAAGATTAGGCTTACAAAGTTCAAACTGGTACCAGAGACACAGCACAAGAACTGCTGTGGTCCAGCTAGAGGTCTAGTCCAGCAGTGAACTGCAGTAAATATTAGGACAGCTTTTCCATTGTTTCCTGGCTACAGAAGACGGCCATTTCATCAGGAGCCAACTCAAAACAGAAGATTATCGTTTCAGTACTCCTCAGTAGCAGCTGTCAGTATCTCTATTAAGGAAATACAAGTGGAACAGCTGTATGCCAGTAAATCATTACACTTGGACAAAGTCTTCACTAACCATTTGGTATAAGGCCATTCAAAAAATCAGATCTAAATTTTCAGAAACTCAACCCTCATGTTGACTGACAGCCTTTGATTTTCACCACTTGTATTTAAATAAAACAGCACTTTAAGAGTTTGTGGACTAAATCTAAATGCTTTAAGTATTTTGCAAACGCTTTATTTCCTACCTTAGTACTACGTAATTAGAGTGTTTGACAGAAAGGTTTTAATGGTGTCATTCTCAGTGGTGACACACATCACTTCCAAATAGTTATTCACAATACAGCTCCAACTACAAAAAGTCAGCCCTATTTATACAGTTTTTCAAACGGCTACACACCTTCAAAGCCACCAAATAGACTCTGTCAAATAAAACACAATTTTCTTGATCTTTCTCCATTCATATTTAATGAAAATGAAAATAATTTGTAAGAACAGACTCAAACCAATTAACAGGAATTTGTGGGCTAAATTTACAGCCTGTCAACTACCTTCTGTCTGTCAGATGTGTCGCAGGAAACTACCAAACCCATAAATTATGGACAGGTTTGGTGTTATGGTAAGCTTCCATTCAAGCTTCCTCAGTTAATAATTGATTTGTGCCTCCAGTGCATAGGGATTTAGAATCAATTCCACATATAAACAGTAATACTTTCCCTCACAAGTAGCAGTAGCTGTTATCAAAATGTTTATAAACCTGTTTGTTTGTCTAAGGTCTGGGTGACTGAGATCCATGAAGTAAGAGGAAATCTATTTTATACCTCATAATTGTAGGTATGGCCCATCATTTGTAAGTAAGGATTTTCAGCCCACCTTATTAACACAGAATGCACTGGCTAAGCTAAGAGTCCCATTTGACAGAAGAGCATTATGGGATCTTTATCAATGACAAGATGAACCTGCTCAAATTGACTGAAATGTGGACTGCTCCCAAAAAGAACTGTCTCATGCTCCCTCCATCACCCCTTCAAGTCATATTGATTTTTCTATTTTGCCAAAGTTTTCAGCTCGATCAGTTCCCAGATCCTATTCCTTGCACAGTTTTAAGACTACTGGTGCTAGCACAAAGATGACATTGGCACCGTGGTCAGGCCTGTTCCTCTCTGCAGTAGTACACACTCTGCTAAGCCTAAATTAACAATCAGACTGCAGCATTAGACTGAAACTAAACTTCACTGTTTTACAATCTTGCTGGACATCTAATTTAAAGGCAGAGAGGTTTACAGTAAGAGGAGCCTCTGAAACATTCTACTCTGCAATCTTGTTTACTAGAATAATTTAATAGTGAAGATTAGAGATTGCCCGTGAAGCTACAGTAGAGACAGCAGCAATGCCATTCTTCTTTAAATAATAAAATGCCCTGGACTAAAAATCACACCCAAATGTGTGGTTTTAAGGACAAGACTTCAAATTCAGGATTTGGGTTGCAGTTCTACAGCAGTTACAAACACAACCCCAATGCTAATCTTTTGGGAGCATGCATTGAAATTCAGTCATTACACCATACACCTCCAGTAGCAACACTTCATTCCCCAAAGAAATTACAAGCTGGCACAGAAGCAGAACGTGCTTCCTCATAAGACAATATTCCAAACACAGATTCAGAAGACCTGGTTTTGCCTTTGCCCTGTCAAACTTGCTATGTTTTACATATGGCTAGCAATTATTTATCAAGTTCTAATTACTTAAATTGCAACTGAAATAATTAGAAAAACAAGGGCATTATATTCCTTAAGTATATTAAGACAAGGGTGCTGCAAAGGAAGGAGTCAAAGAAACAAAGATACAGAGAAATCTTTCAACTTTCTTCCTGTTTCTCCTCAGTTATACAACAAGCAGGCAATTCTGAAGTAGAGAGAGATCTTCCTAAGTGAAACCTCCAGATTACCACAGAATCACAGAATTGCTCGGTTGGAAAAGACCTCCGAGATCATCACGTCCAACCGTTCCTGTCTACCCCCTAAACCATATCCCTAAGTACCTCGTCTACCCGCTCTTTAAATACATCCAGGGATGGTGACTCCACCACCTCCCTGGGCAGCCTGTGCCAGCTTCTGACGACCCTCTCAGTAAAGAACTTCCTCCTTATCTCTAACCTGAACCTCCCTTGGCACAGCTTGGTGCCGTTTCCCCTTGTTCTATCCTCCAGATTACACCTCAGTTGCTCACAGTGAATATCTAACCTTTGCACTGAATCTTAAAATGCTATGTTGTTGCAAGGCAGAGCAAGTCTTGTAACAGCAATTATGTTTTCACAGAATCACAGAACGTTAGGGATTGGAAGGGACCTCAAAAGATCATCTAGTCCAATTCCCCACATCAAATAATTCCTAAATTCCACAACAGTACAGAAAACAGATGACACTATTTCAAATGAAACAGAGCACTTTCTTTGCCCTATTTTGTAGTTTCAAATGCAATTTGATATTTTACTTTTTCTCACTTAAATCCCTTCAGAAAGTTTAGCATTATAAACTTGAAATCAAGCACCATTCTGTTCCCAGAATTATTTCATTGCTTAACCTTCAAAGTACATTAATAGTTATCACCAGAAGTTAGAACGAGTGATTACAAGCAACAATTTCACACCTACACTAGATATCAGAGCAAACACTTCATAGAAACTGTAAGCACTCCATTTTAGTGTGTTCCATCTAACATCAGTTCGATGACTGTTTCATCATTCACGTTCCACTACAATTAAAACACATATATGAATAAAATACTTAATACAAATATCTTTTAAAACATCACTAACCTTCCATGAGCATGAAAATCTAGGCGCAAGAACTGATCTTCATGCGATACTGCTCTTTTGGCACGCTGGTGTTTTTGGTGTAACAAATCCACATCGTAAGACAATCCTTCATAATGTCTAATGTACTTATTTAGAGGATTTCCATACTGGCCTGAAAAGAGAAAAAAGTAAGGTTTAGCATACCTGAGAAATTACTAAGGTTACAACCACACTACAAGGTATGGCAGATCTGTGGTGCAACACAGCTGATAATGAGGACCCAACTCCCACCTTACAAGCATTTTAGCTTTCTTTTTTCTCCCTTGGACACCTCATTCTACTCTGGTCCCACAGACTGCATGCACACTTGCAGTAGAGTGCATTAGGTGGACCTTGGAAAGCATCTGCCACTTCATGTTCAATCAAAACAAGCATAGCTCATTTACTCCAAAACTACTCCACAATGCAAACTACATCACTGTGGACAGGAATATTTGAGGGATATTTCAAAACACACTCCTGATCCAAACAAGTGCAACAGCTGAACATCTTTCTTCTGGTTCCCTAGAAGAATTGTACTTCCAGCTTCACCCTGCACTCCTAACACTGAAGTATCTGCTCAGAATGTTCACATTTCACACACAATATATCCAGAAAATTAAGAGGAAGTCATGCCACTTAGCAACACGACATTTTGTATCTCAAGGAATGTTCTATCACATGGAAAATTTTTATTAAAGATGTATCTCCAAAGATGTAGATTCAGTTCACTCTATTTCGAACACTTCCTTCCAAGGGAGTATTTCTGACTTGCATTAGGAGTGCATGACAGAAAATGGGAAGGTTTTGGTGCTCGTATCCAGATGCAAGAAGGAACATGCAGAACTGACCAGAGGCACTAGCATTGGAGAGCTCTTCATAGATCTATAACGTGCGTACAGAGGACCACCGTATCAGCTCTGCATTTACACTAGACATTTCTTACTATAACAGTATTTTTCACACCAAGGTTTGCATTAGTAGGTCTGTAAGAGGACAGAAAACTCCTTGTGCTGCCAGACACCTGTCAGATACACTGCTGAGATGTACTTTTACCTAACAAAGAGTCAACAGGCCAGTAATCATAAGAACCGAAACCATAAACATTAACAGCATTCTTTTCCTCCAGACAAGGAGCCACTATATGCATTACAGACATTTGGTCACTTCTTCCAAATAAATACAGTTTCCAGCCAGCATTCACCTTCTTGGTAGTTAATATATCCCAAGCAATCAGAAATGTATGCACAATAATTTGGCAGTACAGCACATATTTAACAAGAAGTATTTCTCATATCCTGACCACCACCACCATCTCTGTCCCCTGACTGCACATTCAACCCTGGTACTCTTCACAAGTCTTAGCACACTTTTCTATCAAACACCAATACTAGAACACTACGGATGAGAAAAAATTTCATCTACTCGCCAAAAGTAAACACAGACGTTGTGGAAGGAATTATTAAGATGAAGTGATTCAGTAACTGTGATCAGAGACCAAAAAAGATAGAAGTTCCAACAGCAGGAAATAATGTGGGGAAATAGAAAACCAAAACACAGCTCATGGACCAAACCACTATGTCTTTGCAATGGAGGTATTACACACAGTGCATTTCACATACACAGTGAGAAACTGTTTAAAAAACTGTTTTTATTTAAAATATCCAGACATAAGGGATTCCTGTAGATATCTGTATCTAGAATCTACAGTCAAAAGCAAGATCATTTTAGCGGTTCTGGTTTCAACGCCAGATTATACGTGACCCGAATTATGTCATGTTTCTTGATGTACTGAACGCTAAAGCCAGCAAAGAATTAAAGCTGTTATGATGTATAACGTTTCAAAACTCCAAGAAATAATTGCATGTTTTGATACATAACTTATCAGAAGCTAGCATGAAAACATTCACCCTGACTGAAACAAAGCCTTGCAGCATTCTCCTACGCACTTTAAGCAACAAACATACAATCAACTCTTCTCTCTTTTACCTCCATAGAAGCAATTGTTTCTGTAGAACGAATCAACTATTCATTACAGAAACTACTTCATGTATCAAATCACTGAAAAGCAAGCACCATCTCTTAGTGTTATTATGCAAAAAGTCAGGTTTTCTTCGAAGCAGCCTGTGGCAACAATATATTGACACATGTATTTGTAGAAGGAACGTTTTGGCACTCTCAATATTTAGTAAAAATTTCCATACAAGTTCTTCCCTCCATGACCCCTCTGACAAAGCATTTTCCAAAACTTTGCAAGGCATTTCAGTGAACTATATTTTTTACTGAAACAAGTTGGCTCTATCTTTTTAGTTCACTCAGGTGCAATGTGATGACACAAAGAAAACAGAGTGCAGTAAATGTATCGTCATCATTTTTACTAACATCTTTCACAAAAAGGACACAAATTCAACTGTCAACCGCTTCATTCATAAAGAGATAGACCTGACGTAAAAGCTGGACTGTCTACTGAAAGCTGTGGTATACAAACACAATCTTATCTACGCTAAGAATACAAAACTAGAACACAGAACACGCGAGTTGCTGGTTCTCCAGCTCCAGGTTGAATCGGTAATCTTCAAACACAACCTCACGAAGAGTGCAACATTTGTTGGTGTATCATAGGAACTGCATTTCACAGCACTTACTACTACATTCTGAATGAATTCTCAATGATACAACACTGTGCAAAAGTTTCTACTTCAAGGACGTATAAGCCTTTTTTTAAATTTCTTTTTCTGTTTTGTAACTTTTTTACCATCTATTATTCTAACTTCATTGGGCGTATGTAAGTGTTTGCCTCATTGTTCCTGGTTCCTCACCTAGGTTCAAAGCTCTCCTGCCTCAAACTCCTCCTTAAGGAAGTGAACAAATTATTCAGTTTATGCTTGATTTTTCAAGAACCTGACTTGGGCTATCAACGTTTTTTTTTCCTGAAGAAATATCGAGATGCAGCATTTAAGAGATAAAATAAAAAGTAAAATCTCTACTCTTCTTTGAAATTCTTAACTCTGCAAGAAAAAACAGGATCTCTCATAATCGTTTTAACCTCAAACAAACCTAAATGTGAGAATTCTCAGAAATTTCATGCAATATTTTTCTTCAGATATCTATCCTAACGAGGTCCAGGGAGGCCCAATAAGACAAGTGTATCCCAAGTAGTGTTACATTTTCCCAAAGAAAAAACAACTTAACTCTGTTATTGTAGTGAGGTTACAATTTTGTAAGCAATAAAAATACAAATTTACCTTTCCCTGTATTTATTGTCATAATGTCTTCTTTAAATTAATATCACTGATTTTTCAGTGCCTCTGTTTGTTTTCAAGGGATTAGAATGTCTGATCACCAGTAAGCTCAATTAGTACCACAAAGGATGACTAAGTAAATTAATCCTTCCAAATGCCTCGCTTGCAGTTAGCAGCAATGTGCACAAGATGACTGCAAATACAGCCCAGTAAGAAAACCTCATTCTCATTTCCTCTCCGTCTCAAAACACAAGTCCATTCTCATCCAGCTTTCGAGAAGCCTCTGAGGTGTTATTAAACACTCATAAAATACGTGATTTAAGCAAGTCTACATAAACTCTAATCCAAATAAGACACAGGACAAATCCAAAGTTTCAGCAACCAGCATGAGGAATTTTGAGGATGAAGGACGTTGTCCCTGTCCGATGTCTCTCTAATCGTTTCCAACATAATACCACAAAACGAAGCAGAAGTTCTCAGCCCACAGTGGGTCTTTCTATATACCAAACAAGAGTAGCCTGAGTCCACCCATTCAATCAAACTGCTGCACAAAATACATTAGCCTGGCTACAGCCTTGCAACTGCAGGTGTACAACCCAAAAGTGTCAGCATTAAAGGAAATAAGCTTAAAAATTAACTGATATAAGCTAAAACTTCGCTAAAGATTAAATTTTATAACAAACCTAAACCTAAAATATGATACTAATAACTCACTTTAAAACTTTATCAAAACTAAGGAGTAAGCCCACTGCAGAATGTGTGCTCCCTAATTCCAAGACTACTTACAAGCTAAATTATCTTCAACTTCTCTGCTGTAGGAGGCTTCTAATAATGCATTCCTTAAACTTTCATACCCTTTTTTTTTTCTCCTCAGTATTGCAAGGTGCTTTTTGAATAGCCTCAGGGACCCAGAGAAAAAGTTTTAAAAATGAAAACTTACTGAAGACCCAGTAATACGTTGCACCTCATCCAGGTCTCCTGACCATGTGGAAAGCTGGGAGAGACTGCACTCAACTGAGTCACAACAAAGAGTTTTTAAGTGCTAACTACTGTGACAATAGAGCAAAAGGCTCCTGACACTAAAAAGCCCTATAACCGTTCTTCCTGCTAAGCAAACACATTTTTCTTAACCAAAACGTATACAGTTTCTGTGATCACACAGGGGAACAATGCTGTTTCTTCCTCCTTTCTCCAAAACTTAATAGAACTCCTTATGTACTCTCACAGAGAACACTTAACACAAACGCTCTTGTTCTCCTCTTGCTGAACCAAAGCAGCTGCGTATCACCTAGAGTATACGCTACTTCATAGCTTCTCTAAAAAGGGACTTTCGACAGGGTTGAAATCAAGACTTCAAAATGAACATTCACTTTCACTTCCAGAAGCATGGATAATGTTAACATTGCTACAGTGTTCAAAGTCTACAAGGACTTTGAGATCACCTATCAGGCAATCTCCTTCTAATAAAACCAGCTACATACAAGAAGTGATTACTGTCTTCACAAAAGGTAGCTCAATAAGTAACTCAACCTTGGTAACGCAAGGATTTACAGAATCCCATGGCAAAAGTTTGTTAAACTGGAAAGATGACTTCGGTGAGGTGCACGAGGCAGACACAACTGCTAGCTCCAGTTTTTGTAATAAGATCCTGCATGAAAATAGAAGTCTATCACAGAATCCGAGTAGTGCACCCCAAGAAATCGCTACAATAGCACACACCCAGATCCCAATCTCTGTGACAACCTACTGTTATTATTTTGTAACCACTGGAAAAGTAGTGGGGTTTTTTTAACAGACTGCAAGAAAGAGACCTTTTCAAATAACGACATGGTCAGGAAGCCTCCAGTAAGGAACACTGAACCATGAGATACAGTTTAAGGGAGCTGCTCTA